TTAATGTTTATTTTAGTTTTGAGGGCGAGAAAGAAGAACGTGAGCAGGGGAGGGGCAGAGACAGAGAGGGAGACACAGAATCCGAAGCAGGCTCCAGGCTCTGAGCTGTCAGCACAGAGCCTAACGCAGGGCTTGAACCTGCGAATCATGAAATCATGACCTGAGCCCAAGTCAGGCGCTTAGACGGCTGAGCCACCCAGGTGGCCCTAGAATTTGTATTTTAAAAGACTTGGAGATAGACTCTGGACAGGCTTGAGAGAGCAGCTCTGCCTTGGATCGCAGGTATCAGAAAATCTGAGATGAATGAAAATCCATAAGTCGGAACAGGGAAGAGAAAGGTGGGTCTGAACGGTGTTCACTGCTCTTCACCCACCCGCGTGTGGCTAACGGCTGCCCAGATCCCAAGGTGAGTATTGCAGGTTAATGTGAGATGCTACGTGCAGAATAAGAGCATGTTTGGGAAAGCCTCCGACGTTCAGAGGAAAGGACAGACCTGAGATATAAGCCTAGGCGCTGGGCTGGAGTCTCAGCCCTCATAGTGCTTCTCTGTGCTTGGAGAACAAATGCTCTGTCATTGCTTCATGCATTTCCGTTGGATGAAGCTTCTTTTTTCCTTCCAGGGACGCTCTTTCCCGATTTCGTATTTTTTCTTCCTCCGAGAATTGTTTCTTTTAATCTACAGATTCTACAGATGACAAACCCCTCAGGGTATGAATGCTGTTTCCTTAGGTTTTTAGAGTATCAGATCAGAAGAGCACAGAACATGTCAGCTATAGGCAATGAATATTAATTTCCTAATCCATAGAATAATAACAGCTTTAGAAGAGCCTGTGGTTCAGAGACGTGGAATCAACGTATAGGCTCAGCCAGCTCCTGCCTATAAAAGAGCCAGGCTGGGGATCAGTCCCCCACCAGCCACCTCAGCTCTCTCTCCTGGTCTCCAGGCAGAATATTTAGAATGTGCTTTCTTAGCCAACTTGTATGATTTTTTTCTCCTGCCTCACAGAAATAGTTGTGATTTTTCTGTCTCTCTCTTTCTTTGCATATAGCATTTGATTCTTTGATATTCCACTTAGACTGGGAGTACATTATCTGGCGATAACGCATTTCAGCATTACCTGTGTCTTTGCATTTCCCCATATGACTTTTTAAAAATATTTATCTATTTTGACAGAGAAAGAGCGGGCACAGGTGGCAGAGGGGCAGAGGGAGAGGGAGAGAGAGAATCCCAAGCAGGCTCCCTGTTGTTGCACTGTGCCCGACGTGGGGCTGAATCCCACGAACTGTGAGATCGAGACCTGAGCTGAGATCAGGAGTTGGATGCGTAAGCAGGCGCCCTGCATTCCCCCATATTCTGACGTGGCCCTTTACTGTCAGGGTCTTGAGGTCAGGGCTTATGTTTTAACCATTTCTCTATTTCTAGGGAGATGTACAATAGCCCCTGGTTCTAGTGGGCGTAGTTATGTACCTTCTGGGGTGGAAAGTGTAATTTTTCCTTGGAAAATATGGGCCTAGATTCCAGATCAGCTTTATTCAGCCATTATTACAGTGAGCTAAGTTTTCTGTAACCCTTCTTATAAATTAACCAAGTTTCTCTTCTTTTATTGCTTAATTTTGTTCTTCTTGGAGCAAATCCTTCCTACTCAGAACATGTGCTGCAGTTTATTATTATTTTTTTTTATTTAAAAAAATTTTTTTTTCAACGTTTTTTATTTATTTTTGGGACAGAGAGAGACAGAGCATGAACAGGGGAGGGGCAGAGAGAGAGGGAGACACAGAATCGGAAACAGGCTCCAGGCTCCGAGCCATCAGCCCAGAGCCCGACGCGGGGCTCGAACTCACGGACCGCGAGATCGTGACCTGGCTGAAGTCGGACGCTTAACCGACTCTGCCACCCAGGCGCCCCTGCAGTTTATTATTTTTATGTGTTTATTTTAAATTTTAGTTA